TTTGAGGTAGAAATGCTGTGTGCGAAGTAACAAAGTCAGGCCTTGAAGCCAGAGTATGATTTGATAGAATTGTGTGGAGACTGGTTCTGCCAAAGGTGCGACGAATTGTAAGATGGATCTGCCTTGATCCAGAATGCGTGTGATGTTCTTGAATTGTTTTTGTCGGAAAATTGTTGTGTGATCAAGTGTCTGTCGGTGTTGAATCAAGTGCTGTCGGAGTCACTCTGTCATCTGACTGATGATGGCGACGAGTTTGATCAGTGCTGGGGAGCCAAATTTGTCGATGGCTTTGGGTGGGACACCCCAGGCGACTGCAGCGGTTTGCAGTGTTTGCTCTTGTGAGCTGCTGAGTGAAGGGAATTCCGAAGCAACAATGTCAAGGTACTTTTTAACCTGTGTTTTTTGTTTGTCGCTGATGCCTTTGATGGCACCAAACCATCTGGTGATGCCGGATTCGGAGTGAACGCCAGTGAAGTGGTCTTGAAACCAAACACTGGCTTTTGTAGGCTGCTGGAAGATGCGCTGGGGATCCATCTTGGGATCGAGGGGTGCCGCCTTCGTTGGTGTAAGAGTTGACTGCTTCTGTCGCTTGGCGCCCAGAGTGGAGCGTCCCGGGAAGTGCATGCCTGTGGTGGATGACGATGCTGGGGAAGTATGTAACGGGTTGTTGTCTTGTTCTGCAGCGGTTGTGGTGAAGGGGGATAGGCCCTCCGTGGTAGGCTTGGTGTTGGTGTGTGTAGGGTCATCGATGGTGGCCCGTTTTTGTCCACGGGTGGTTGTGGTGGGAGAAATCTCAATTGTGGAAATTGAGAGAGGTGGTGGGGAGGGCGTGTTGATGGGAGTGCTGGGCGTGGTGGATTGTTTTGGTTTCTTTGATGCTGGTGTGCTGGGGGCCTCATTGTGTGCTTCCGGCGCACGGAGAGTTTCAATTGTCTCCAGTGCTGTTGAAAGTCGTGCTTCAAGGTCGCTGATGCGATGGGCCGCCAGAGTGTCAGTCTCTGTCGGCTGCGAAGGTTGGAGTGGGAGATGAGGTTGTGGTTTGCTGGATTGTGGTGGTGTTGGAGATTCGGTGGGTTGCGATTGTGTGTTGTCTGTGTCTGCTTTGACATTTTGCTTGTCCTTTTTGTTGCCGTCATTGTACTGGTCCTGCAGCTCCTGCAGGTACAACACCAATTCCTTGATAAGGTGTGACATTGCTGGTCGTTTTGCGAGTGTGAGCTTTTCTTGCCAGCAGAATGCAGTGGCCGCTTGGTCCAGATCAATTCTCCTTGCTCGGAGTTGACCCATAAGTTCAGTGGTAAAGACGGCTTCGCTGACGTGTTTGCTGCATGTGAGATGGATGTCGAAGCCATGTGCAGCGTACCGTAGCCAGTACGAGGACCAATTGTGTCGCAAAAATGCGACCAATGGTGCTGTTGCGATTGGCATGCCTGCTGTGCGGTTATGCACTGAATGTGGTGTAGATTGAATGTGTTTGGGGAGGTTGAGGCCAAAAAGCTGCCTGTTGTCCCAATGCTCTGGTGTTTGAACAAAGTCGTTTGGTATCTGGGGATTTGCAGGCGTGGGATTGGGGTGTTGCTGTTGTTGGGTTGCGACGGTGGCTTGAGGTAATGTATGTGACGAAATGCTGGGGTTTCGAGTCGTCATCGGAGATGGACTCACAAATGTGTGTTGGGGAGTGGCAGGTGTGGGGGTTGGCAGTGTGGTGGGTGGAATTGGTCCGGGAAACTGTTGGGGTGGGGGAGGGGGTGGAGGGAAAGGTGGGAAAGTGTTGTTGTGGCTGTAAGTGTGAGCTGAACCCCAAGTAGTCGGGATTGGTGATGAGGTGTGTGGTGGGATGTTGTGGATCCCTGGTGGTGGGGAGATCGAGTGCAATGGGGTGCTGCTGGTCGAGGTTGTTTGTCGCTGCACGGTACTGATTGCTGTACCGATGATGCCTGTTGGCATTGTTGTATGCCACTGAGGCTGTGTCGGCTTGTACATGGTTGCACAGTGGGGCACTACAGTTGCCTGTGACTGCAAAAGCTGCACATGGAACATGCATGAGCAACCTGGTTGGCTTGAGCGTCAACATCAACTTGTGCGAGGCATCCAGCATGCAGCTGCATCGAATCTTCTTTGGCTCAAAAGCGGGGTCGGAGCAAATGCCTGATTGCAAACAACTATGTGTACAGGGATTCAGGCCTGGAAGAAAAAGTACTAGAGAGTTACAGGAAGACACAGAAGAAGAAATCAACATCACTGAATGAGGCCGAATCCAACGATGCTGAAGTGCCCGGAGTGGAATCCCCACTTCTCCGGGGTCCGCACAACACCCTTTCGCCCCACGATGAAGGCTTCTCTGTACATGTCCCGATACGTCATCTTGTAATGCTGATACTTAGTCCGTATTGTCCCGATGACGATCACTCCCTGTTGGCCCTTGGGCCGCCGCGTACATTGATCGGTAACTATATGTACCGTGCTTTCCGACACATCTCCTGGGGTCGCATTCCCGTATATGACGCAAGAGGGAATGGGTGGATAGGACTTGTCGTCGAAGCAATGGCTGACAGAACTTGGGCGGACCAAGTCCTCACGCATTATGCGTGCGGCACTTGCAATGCTCGTGCCGTGTCCGGCGGTGTAGATGTATGTTTCCCCTGGTGGGTCAGTGGCACGAGTGCCGAATGCTCTGCGAGTCTCACCAGCCCACGGGATGAATAACATAGTATGCACGCCGTCCGATATTGGCGTCAGCGTTGCTCCCAATTCGTTGCACGCTGAGCGCGTGCCCGACTGTAATACGGCATGCGCGAATTCGGCTAAAGTCTCCTGCCTGAAATCGCTGTCAGCAGCTATCTCGCCCAAAGTTTTGGCGAGTTTGTGCGCTTCCTCCAAGTCGACAGCGTGGGGTGTCGGCTTTTCATGATCATAAAGCTCAGAGAAAGGCGCCACGTCAATCTGTGGTGGTCTGCTCTGTTTGCCCAGTTGTTCGAGGGTTGGCTGACCCGATGGGGCAGCAGTTGTGGATGCATCGAAAGTCGGAGCAGGTGTCCGAACAGAGCTGGGGGGATTGTGCCGAAGCTGTTGGCGCGAGGATGTGCCCTGGCTTGTTGGGGGCTGCTGTTGTGCTGCTTGGCTGCCCTTGATGCGGAGGGCGATGCGCTGAACCTGCGAAGCCAATGTTTTTTGTGGGACCTTGGGTGGGGTAGGTGGCCTTTGACGTGGCTGTGTGGCTCTGTAATGCCACTTGTTGGCATCATCATCACGCACTGTAGAATAGCTGCGGAGCACAACCGAGGTCCGAGGAGGTGTCGATGAAGCTCGCCTGGTGTCCCTGCGAGAACGGCTTCTGCGAGTGTCGCGGGATCGGTGGTGTCTGCGTCGGCGGTGCTGTCTGCCGCTGCTTGCAGGTCGTGCTCGGCTGCGTGTGTGTCGACGGCGTCTAGTGCTCACGGTGCGAGTTCTGCTGCGTGTGGGTGAATGCCGTCGTCTGCGTGGCAGCGGAGGGTGATGGGGAGAAGTACGGGCTGCGAGCTGGTCAGTGTCTGCCGATCCCGTATCTGGGGGTGGTTGTGCGGGTGGCACTGTATTGACGGAAGGGGTGTTGGCTGTGTTTGTTGGTTGTTGTTGTTGGGGCGTCATTGCCGGTGTCTGCGGGGCAGTGTGTGCAGCATCGGCAGTGGGAACACTGGTGGGGTGGGGTTGTGGAGCTTGTTGGATTGTTGTTGGCGGCGGTATGTGGGATTGTTGAATGGGTTGTGTGGGAGGGATGTTGCAAGGTGCAAGTTGGGGTTGTGGGGCAGGTGGTGTAAAAGGAAAGTTGAATGTGGTAGGTTGGGCCTGATGCTGTGCCGAAGCAGATGGGCTCATGGGAAAAGCTGTTGGATGGGTAGGCAAAAGAGCAGGATTCATGAACGGTGTGGGGTGTTGTGACATGAATTGCTGGGGTGGAGGTTGTTGTGGCATCTGGGGTTGTGGTGTGCTGAGATGTGTGTAGATCGTCGGATGCTGTGGAATAGGAGCGGTGTGTCCACACGGCATCATGGGGAAGCCGTGCGTTTGTTCAAGAGGAATCGTAGTGGGTTGTGTCGGCAGTGTGGGCTGCTGAGTGGCAGCAATGCCGGTTGGCATCATTGCTGGGTAGCTTTGAGACTGCGGTACCCAGGTGTTCTGGTGAAATTGATTAAGCACCGGTCGGGCTGTTGGTGCATATGGTGTTGCTGGTGGCTGCGCGGCAAAATAATCCGGCCACATAGCTGCAACGAAGCGGGTGAAACACACACAGTTGCACAAGCAAAGTGCAGGCTGTCCTGATTGTCCCTGCTGGACTGATTTGAGAGGTCGTAGACGGAGAGAAGGAAGGAAGAGGGCCGAGTACTCTCCGGAGAGAGCGCTGCTTCACTTGCTGTAGACATCTTTACCACGTCTGCACTCATGTCAGATGCACATGCCCTTGCAGTCCCTGAGTAATAAAGAAGCGGAAAAAATACGGGGCAGACTAGAGAGGTAGCACCTGCTCACTAGACGCACATTACTGCATTAGCCGTCCCTTACTGCGACTGCACTCATGTCAGACTCACATGCGAGCATCAGAGAGAGAGAGATAAAGTAGCATCTGGAGAATCTGAACGATCTGAACGAAGGCTGAACACCCGGTTCATCACCGGTCTCCCCGGAGGGTCACCACGGCGCCATGACGGAAAGCCGTTGCTCTGGAGTCTCATAGACCCACGCTGATCACACTGATGGATTCGGCCAAGAGTACGAGTGCAAGAGGAAAAAGAGAGGCATGTTGTTCATGTTGTAAAAGCTTGTCAGATTGTGGCAACCGTACAGCTTGTTTGTTGTCAAATCAACCGCCAAAAGTGGCAACTGAAAACTCTCTAATCTTGGCACAGGGGCCTTCTAATCGGGCTGGCACAGGGGCCCCAGCTCAAGGTTTTGCAGGTACGCCGAGTTGATCAGACTCGGTATCCCATGACTGTGGTAGCTTCGTTGAGTGCGGTCCCACAGCCATGCCGCACTCCCCTGCAACATTTGATTCGGTAAATGTCAAATGTCTGATTGAGTTGAAAAGCAAAAATTGCAAACAGTGTAGGAGTGACCCTCCGCTCCCATGTGCTAGGGAGGTTCACACACACACACACACACACACACACCCGCCCCTGCCCGCGCACGCGCATTCTGACCAAACTGCCGTGGTGGCCAGCTACGTCAGGACGTACGGAGAACAAGGACGTGCCATAGGCGATCGTGGTGGTTGCCGTGAGTCGTGCTGATATGGTTTCCCAAGTGCAGATCGCATTTCAGATCTGTGAATCTTGTGGCACTCGGTCTTGGCACTCCTTCCAGATCTGTGCGAGCAGTCAATTGTTTACTAAGCTTGAAGCAGGAAGGGTTCAAGCTCAAGCGACGAGCTGTAAGGCCATACTTGCTATTCCGTGCATGCTGGAAGGTGACACGGACAAGATCGTCCCAAAGAATACTTATGGCATGACCAAGGCGGTGTGCGAACTATTGGTGAACGACTATACCAGGCCTTGCTTGATGTGCACGTGTGACATCTCTGTGGTTCTGGGACCGAAAGTGCTCTCCCGCAGGAAAGGCTTCATAGACGGTCGCACGGCAAGGCTCCCCACCGTCATCGTGCGACCTGGAGCGAAGCCCAGAAACACGATCGTTATTTCTAGGAGTATGAGGCCTGAGGATGTAGGCCACCTTATGGGGATGTAGAGTAGTAGGAGTAGTAGGAGTAGTAGGAGTAGCAGGATTAGTAGGAGTAGTAGGAGTAGTAGGAGTTGTAGGAGTAGGAGGAGTAGGAGCAGCAGGAGTATGACGAGAGTTGGTGTTTGAGCAGGTAGGAGTGCGGGGTTAGTTGCAGTAGTAGGATTAGTAGTAGTACTGGGAGTACTGGCAGAGGAGGAGGAGTAGCTTTCGCGGAAGTTTAGTAGCATGCAAAGCAATGACCAGCATGTGCGTGAAGTCTAGATCCAGGCCGGCCCAATGCCGCAACGACCAGTTGCTTCTCAGGCTGATGGGCTGCAGCTTTAAAAGCACATAAGCGTGCACATACACACACGCACAGAGCTTTCATTTGGGCTTAGTCAGTCGGTGTTCTGTTTTTGCATAGCTGCGACAAGTTGCATCTGTGATGGGCAGCACAGTCATGTTCTGCTGAATTACAGGAGTCGTGAGAGAGCCGCTCCATGGTGAAGATGCTGTGCTTCCTGTGGCAAGGACTGCAGCTTTCGGGAGCATTCATGGCAAAGAATTGGTACATGGACTCGGCCGGACTTTCAATCCTTGCTGACAAGAGCTGGGAGTTTCTCGAGAGTAAGAGGTACCTTACATTGGGGTCCTTAAAATAAGGATGCTACTATTTAGGGTATATACTATCATGATTAGGTTCCCCTGTGTTCGGAAACCCCCAACCCTAAACCCTAAACCCTTTATAGAACTCTTATAGATCCCTTAAAGGATCATTTTAGGGTTCCCCAAAGTTATGCTTGGCAAAGACAGGATGCTGCCCCACTCTGTGACAAGCACACGAGCATTGATCTCCAACCTCGTGGCTCGGACTTGGACTTGCTGCCGCCGTATGTATGTATGTATGTCTGCAAAAACATATTGTGTATACATGTAATATGATGGAATTCAACATACCTTTGTTTACACTCCAGTGATGGGTGGATGGATGGATGGACGGAGAGAGGGAGGGAGGGAGCGAGGGAGGCATGGATGGATGCATGTCTGAGACACATACACACACACAGACATACTCTCTATCTCCCTTATACTACGTGTATGTACGGTCTGTTTGTATGTGCGTGCATACACGCACATACAGACAACCAAACGTCTGTCCTTCGCGAACAGACGGCGACACAGAGATTTCCTCGAAATCGTCTTGCTGGTCTTAGAATGCAACCAGGGCAAGGTTCACCTAATTCTGAACCTCGAACCCGAAAGTGCCGAAAAGCTCAAAAAGAAGGTAATTCTTCATGATGTAATGCAGCATACCTTTGTTCGAAGGTAATTCTTCATGATGTAATGCAGCATACCTTTGTTCGAAGGTAATTCTTCATGATGCTGATTGGCCGAAGACGTTGACAGACCGCTCAGCAAATCTGCCTTCCAGGTGCCCTTCCCGTGTTTCTGCCAAAACTTTAGGCTTTGAGGTCTGTAGGGCTCTAGGTGTCAGGTTCGCAGCTTCGTGTTCAGCGTGCTTCTTGTCAGAAAGATGCACAGGAAAGCATGCTGCCTGCTGTTTGCGAGCTCATGACAGTTGTTCGTTGGGACTCGCTGTGGCTGTAGCAGGTTTTGTGAAACAGCTGCGGCGCAGCATTTTTTACTCCCCAACTTGCCTGACGAACAACTGGAATGCGGAGGCCATGTACGCTGCAGCAGCTGATTGATGCGCTCTACGAAGCTCCGCTGAGAAAGCTACAATGCAGCACACGTGTAAAGGGTGGCCCAAACACGCAACATGCGCTTGAGGGGTTCCTTTTGGAGATATCTTTCGATAGCTCCCTGAACCCGAAATCCTCGGCTTCATGTGCGAGCTGGCAAAGGGCCGGGCTTCCAGAGCTTCTCTCCGAAATAGACGCTTCGTAGAGTCTTGTTGCGCAAGGAGGTTGTGCCTGAGGACGAGCATACCAAGCTGGGAAAGATCGTCGACAAGGAGGGGGATGCTCCGAATGTTCTTGCTGTGCCACTCCGTCTCGTCTTGCCATTCAATGGCGATCCAGCCATGGGAAGAATCCCACCTTGCTGCACTTCAGCAGCGACGAGTCCTGTCCTCTGCCACAGGTCCTCCTCGCAAATACCGCAACCCACAAATAGAAAACAAGGCGCAAGCAGCTCCTCCTGGCAGGAGGATGCCTTCCTCAGCCGCGTCGTGGGCAGCATGGGCTCCAACCTCTCTTACGAGCGTGCGCGGGAGCGAAGGGTCCTCGATTTCCCTGGGTCTTGTTGTTGTCAACATTAATCCGACGTGGATGTTTCAGTATTGGTACCAGTCAGCCGCGGGGGCCCAGGCACATGTCTAAGAATTCGTCATCATAGCAAGAACCACAACACCGGTAGCAGCCACAGTACGAACATGAGCAACACCTGGAATACGATAAAGTTGGTGATCGCTGAGGTTTCCACGGACCGATGTGCCTGACAGCAGGAAGATAAAAATGGAGTCGACTCAGAGCCGAACAGAAGTTGGGCCTTGAGAGCAGGAGCTGCGAATGCTTGCCGTGCCGGACTTGAAAACCGCGCCTTGGATCGTAAAGCCTTGTCAAGTTTTTGGTTGTAGGTCGGGCTACATACACTGCTGGCTGCTACCGTGTAGTTCCGCAGCCGGGGAACATGCTGGAAGCTTGTATTTAGCGAAGCCAGGTGATTGAGGAGTTTCTGGAGGACTTCGGTGAGCAGTCCGTCGTCTCACGCAAGAGACGGAAGATTGCGTGAGGAAGCGGAGCAAAAAGTCATCTCCACATCCGTCTCTTCAGGAAGATAGAGTTCAAGCTACAGTTGGGTGCAGCAGCCAAAACGAAGTATGGTCTGCGTTGCGCCAAGGTGCAGGCTTTGCTGTCCTTTCAACGGTTTGTGCGATTTCGTCTGCATGTTTTTCTGGACTTGGAAGCTCGTTGTTCTTCTTTCAGGCTTGCATGGTAGATATCATCAACATCTGACCTTGGCCACATTCTCGACCTTAACAGAAGAAAACAAGCCTGAAAGCACCAAGAGTAAAGGAATCCCCACCTTCTGGTGTCCTGTCATCCATCCCTTTGAGGCCAAGTGCTTGCTTTCATGAGCCGGTCCACCCGAACCCTGAACCCTAAACCCTAAAACCTAAACCCTAAGCCCTAAGCCCTGAACCCTAAAACTCCTGAACCCCAAGCCCTAAACCCCAAACCCTAAACTTTGCCGCAGGTACCCCTAATTTTCGGAAACTCTAAACCCTGAACCCTTTATGGAACCCTTATAGATCCCTTTAAGGAACCCTTTAAGGGTAACCCTAAACCCTAAACCCTAAACCCCCTAAGCCCTATAAACCCCGAAACCCTAAACCCTAAACCCCTAAACCCCTAAACGCAGGTACTGGAACAATCGCCCCTTTGGGCTACCACGCTGCCTCGTGCGGCGCCGCGGGAGTTTCAAGCCATGGCCTTGGGGCCTGCAGCTTCATATATTATAGTAAGTAAATATTGTAATTTTTCTTTTATTATGTATTCTATAAATAAATAAATAAACAAATAAATATATATATATATATATGTATATAAATAATATGTTATGCTATCTTCATATTATGTGGAAGATCCGACTCGAGTCAGGAAAAGGGCTTGAGTGGGCGAATTCAGGAAGCAGCGGAGCCTTGTCTTTTGGAAACAGACAGCTTTGTTCAGGGTTTAGCAGTCTGATGGGGGCCCCCTGTAGTCTGAGTGTGGGTGCTGTGTGGTCCGACCCTGGCCTCCTTACGTTCGTCTTGTTCGCGACTCCGTTTCCGGACTTGACACTGAACGTTTCGGGTATCCGGTTATCCAAGTGTTTGGTGACAGCTTGCTTTAGGGCCACCTCTGTTCCCCAGGTCGACGTGTGGCCAAGCGAAGGCGACTTGGAGCCGTCTGGGCTCTCAGCATGTTTTGGAGGTTCTGCAGTTACGAGCTATTGCCAGGCCCCTGGAACTCCTCTGCGGGTTTAGGGTTTGCCTTCTAAACCCTAAACCCCGCTATATCCCAAATACTTCTGCCCCCAGCCCAGGAGCCAGTCGAGTTTGTGGTGTAGAAGACTTTGCCGGGTGACTGTGAAATTCTGAACCTAACCCTAAACCCTAAACCGCACAATGGTTTAACCAATACTTCAGAGCGGTCGTGCCTCGAGGTTGTTTACATTAGCAGGTCTACTAACCTTGAGTCTAAACCACATTGATGTCCCAAGCTATCCAACACCCTAAGCGGGTAACTTCCAGCCCCTCCAACCTTAGAGACGAGCTTGCACGCGCCCCTCAACCCCAAACCCTAAACCCTAACCCACTCCAACCCTAAACCCTAAACCCCTCCACCCTTCTCAGGTACGCCGTCACTGTGGGGTCCTACGAGTACCAGCTGACTGGGCTTCGAAGTCAGGCCCCTCCGCCCTGAGATCGGACTGCACTGACCGTACCTGCTATACCATACCAGACTCTGCTTTCCGACAACAAAAATGTCTACATTTACATATGTGTGTATACATACAACATCATATGAGCATCATTTCATATAAGCATTATATTCGCTTCAACTCAATGTCAGATTGCTATCGTAGGATCTTTGGGGCAGCTGTGGGAAAGCCAAGCCGAGCTGAGCATCCCCTCGGCTGCTGGGAGGTCTTTGCGCTGAATGGCACTGCGGGCGCGGTTTCCGACTCAGCTCCGGTCTTCAGCCTTTCAGGGGTTTAGGGGTTTAGGAGTTGGGGTGTTGGGGAGTTAAGGGATTTTTTTGGGTTTGGAGGGCTTAGGGTTTGAGGGAGTAGGTTTTTGGGGGCTTAGGATTTAGGGTTTGAGTTTGGTTCCATGGTCTTGCAAGATCTTGTGAGAATCTGCTTTTTAGGCCCATTTTGGGTGAGCTTTCGCAGGGCCAAGCCTGCTGAGGTTCTTGGTCACATCAGGGGCCTTCGCATCCGTGTGGAGAGCAACTGGGGCGAGGCATCGCGCCGCAACAAATGCATGGGTTTGAGAAACTTCCGGTTGCCGCTTTAGTGATGTCTTGTTGCACTATTGGTTTCCGGAAGACGAATTCCACATGAATAGAGAAGCCTTCAGGCCTGTCACGTTAGAGAGTGATCTGCACTTCTTATGAGTTCCCAAGTGAAAGTTTCTGCTTTTCCGTTTTGACTTCCCAGCCTTGGTTTTCGATGCACTGGCTGTGCCAGATGGTGGGTTCTGCTGCGCTGGGTGGCTTTAGGCTGTAGCTTGTTGGGGACAGCTGTTACTTGCAGGGCATTCAGGGCTTTAGGTGGCGACAGCCGGTGCTTCAAGTTTCTGCGCATCTGGATCGTCATGTTGAGCAGCTGAAGAGGGGAGTGATGTGTTTCCTTTCTGGCAGGACCATACGCTCCTGTGCCGTGTGCGAGTCTTTGGAGCTCCATGACGAGTCAGAGTGATATCGGTACAAGAAGCTCGCTCAGCCCGTCTCGTGAGCGCGATCTTCCGTGTCTGGCGGGGAATGGCCAGATTTTCGGCAGTCGTTGTAAGCATTTGATGAGTACCCAAGCCGAGGGCGCTTGTTCTAAGTTAGGACTCTGGAGAGGGCGCGCGCCCTTAACGGGCTCGCGTCGAACTCAAAGGTTGGCCAGGCTCTAGCCGAAAATTGATGGAGAGCTCTTGTAGTTGATCGACTATAAGGGATCTATAAGGGTACCAAAATATAGGGGCCTTAATAATAATTGCCGATGCCTTTTATTATTATTATTGTTATTATTTATTATTTTTTTTTTTGGGGGGGGGGGCGGGGCTCCTTATTAGAGAGCAGGCTTGGGAAATCGGCCTGTTAGCCTGGCCGGCTTTTTCTTTGCATGTTTGACCGGCAGTTTTCGAAGTACCAATACTATTTTGCGGTTCCTTAATATAATTGCAGTGGAATGGGCCTCACAATCCTATTCTAACAAGAAATTTTCTGTCCTGGTTGGCAATGGACCGCGTCCGTCTCAGTATTTGTATCCGGTACTCCCTTGCTGGCGCGGTCAGAATGTCGAAGCTGCGTGCCGACCTCTCATGCAGGGCACATGAGCGTTTTCGGCCCATCCCAAAAACAGCAAAACTCGTTTCAGGCACCATAAGCCGCTAGATCGCATGATGCGTTGCCGTCATCGCTGTTGTCTGTGCCCGGAATTCAACGTGTGGCAGCTGAAGGGTGACGATCCGCGATGAGCGCCGACGTCGTAGAAAGATGCGCTTGTTGAGGATGTCTGCGGCACACCCTGCGGAGCTTTGCTCTTTTGTTTTGCTTTACGGGGTAGAGCAGGTACGCGGCAGAGGGATCGGAGTTCGGAACCTTGAGCCGCATGTTCGTGTCACCTCTGGGCCGTTGGCGGCAGCATACCAGCATCCTTGGTAAGATAGAAAATCCTGCAGCTTCAACCGTGTTCATCTGCACAACGAATCCAGAACTTAAGCCGTAGAGCCCCCAAACCTTTGAACATAGAACCCGTTGAGATCAGAAAATCCAGTCACCATGCATCCCCGGCCACCCTAAACCCTAAACCCTAAACCCGAAACCACTTGCGCCACCCGCGCCATGAGCTTCTTGTGCAAACGGAGCAAAGAGGCTGAGTTCGAGGTGAAGGCCCTCCCAAGAACTCAGCACAAGTACTCGTAGCCGTAGAAGTGGAGCTGCGTTTTAGGGGGCTGAGGGTTTAGGGTGTTTAGGGGTTTAGGGTTTAGGGGTTTGGGGTGCAGAGGTTTAGGGTTTAGGGTTTAGGGGAGCTTCAGACGCAGGAAGAGTGGCAAGCAGCAGGAGAGTTATTAGCAATACCTGGTGTTGATGATATGACGGGGGATCACCGTCTTGGCTGTCGCCGCAGTCGCCAGCATTGTCATCGTCTTCGTGGTCCTTGTCCCGATGGCAATCGTGGTGGTTCTCATAGTCGTACGTAGCGGCGTATGTAGGATATAAGAAGCAATGGAAAAGATGCATATGTTCGGTTTTCACTCATGACTCACGATGCATGATGCAAGCAAGACATGAAAACATGGTTGCCAGTCTCGATTTGGGGTCATTGTCGTAGAGCGTGGACTGACCATAGTAGCCATCATTACTGAAACAGTAACCTACAGTGATCATGATCGCCAGTGTGATCGGATGTACCATGGTGGCCACCATGAGAAGGATAGCTGTTGCAGAGTTGCTGATCATCTTGGTCGCCACTAGGTGATAGGAGTTCGGCCTTGTTGGAGCTTTCGGGTATGATCGAGACTGTGCCCAGATACAGCAGCTGGAGAGCGATACGGCACTTCGGCTGCACATGCCGGGCAGCCGCCACAAAAGCATGCTTGGTTCGTTCATGTAGGTATGAACGTGTATCTGCAGGTTCCAGCGTTTTCTTGCTGTTGTTTCTAGTCTGGGCTCCTCTTGTGACGTCTCAGTTGGACCGATGCACGCGCAAGCAGCAGCTTAAGAGAAAGCAGCTTTCGAGCAGAGCCCCTCAAGCGCGCGGACGGTGATGCGGCCTCCTTGTTGCGTGTCGATCCTAAGTCCCTGCGTGAGCGCGCATCTGAGGCAGATTTGCGCGAGGACTTGACAAATCTCTTCTCCAGGCAAGCGGCTTTTCGCTCCCAGGTGATGTGGCAGGCGGTTTTTTCGCCGGAAGTAGGCCGTCCAAAGCTTTCTTCCTCCAAACACTAATTAATTATTCCAATTGTAAAGAGCCCTCCTCCAAGCCCTAAGTGTCTTACGCCTTAATATAAGGGCCTTAATAATTAGACTAGGGCTTGGGGTATTTTATATTATATTATCATTTTAATAAGGAGCCTCCAAAATAAATAGTCTAGGTACTTATTAAGGCCCCTTTACATATATATATATATATATATATATATATTCCTTTATAAGTAAATATATTGAGCCTTCTCCTAGACCCTGAGCAGCAGGCTGGCCAAGGCATGTGCTTCCATCGACGAGAAGAACTCCCAGGCTCGAAGCCAAAGGGTCTCCAAGGTCCGGAGGCAAGGTTTAGTCTGGTTCGGGTTTAGGGTTTAGGGTTTAGGGTTTGGGGTTTAGGCTTTAGGATTTAGGGTTTAGGGATGAAGGTTTAGGGTTTAGGATTTAGGGTTTAAGGTTCAGTCTAGACTCCTTAGGGACGGAAATAAGTGTCAAAACTGTACTGTTGGGCTTCCTTCTACAAATAGACCACTGTAGTCCGGGGGCCGAAATAAATACCAATACTATTTTGGTGTTCTTACGTTAACTATAGTAGAAACACACCGAAATCTTATTCTATTTGTTACGGCCTCTATACTAGACACAGGTTTCGAGGTGGAGAAACCGTTATGAATCAAATACTGAAAGGCGATTCCATCTTTGCCTTGCACGGAGATTGGCTGGCTACGCTGGTTCAGGGCATGTTGAGGCGAAGGGTTTGAGGTGCAGGGTCCAGGTGGACAGCTTGTGGCTCCAACCCTGGTGGGTCGCGCCACGAACGCAACATGCGTAATGTGCATGTTTACATGTTTTGCCATACATAACGCAGACGCGCCATATGTGTGTGTATATATGCATATATATATATATATTATATTTGCTGTAATCTTTTATTACATATTTCTTGAGAAATCGTTCATAAACACAACAGTAGCAAGGCGATGGACCTGATGTTCGTCCAGGCGACCACCGAGACGCTGGAAGACTTGACAGGCGAAGTTGGGGCTGTGCTTTTCTGTTATTTCCCAGAGAGATCCCGAGGAGCATTTCAGAGCAACCTTGTGTGTTCACCTTAAATGGTACATAAGGGCATCCGCAGCTGGTGCCACCCGACTGTTTCGTGTTCGTTCCTTATTGCTTTTCGCGCTTGCGGATCGCATTGTTCCAATACCGGAGGGCACGAAGCGCTAATACAGAGGTCGTCGGAATGGTTAGAAATACTATCCCCCCATCCTCCCTGCATCACTCTACCGTAATATGACCGATATTCTAGTTACACAGGCCCCCATACTATACTACTATACTAACCAACAATCTGAAGCCCTTCCAGAAGCCCCCCTCCAGGAGCACTATTCCAATCTTTCAAGCCCCCAAAACCTTAAATCCTAAACCCGAAATCCTAAACCCGAAATCCCAAACCCTCAACCCTAAAAAAACCCTGGGCCCTAAACCCTAAACCCTAAGGCCGGCTGGAGCAGTTGGAACTGGCTCGGGAGGAGAGCGTCGGCCGCCAGAACCAGGTGAGAAGCAGACGTTTATGTAGAATAAAAGTCTGACGGTTTAGGGTTTGGGGTTTAGGCTATAGTGTTTAGGGTATGGGGTATAGGGTATAGGGTTTAGGAATAAAGCTCTTGGGATTGTGGGTTTTGCGTCTTTAGGTACTTCTAACCCAAACTGATATACTAAAATGTAGTTGAGTCTAACATCCTGTAATGCAAGTACATATGGCGTTGTGGCATAAGATAGTACAAGCTAGTATGTCGCTTCTAGTATCTAGTACCTAGTACATAGCATTTAGTATCCAATGCTTAGTACCCAGTTCGTAGTACCTAGTACACTGTACATAGGTATAGCATACAGTACATAGTGCACAGTGCATGGTATACAGTATGTAGTAAATACATAGCACATGGCATCGAGTTTCATAAAATACAATACACAGTAGATAGTTACGTTTTTCTAGTAAGTCATACAATACGTACTATGTAGTATGTAGGAACAGCCAGAAATCTTTACAAACATACATATGTATTGGTGTATACGTACGTACGTACGTACGTTTTTTTTACATATGTTCATAGTATGGAGTTCGTACATCACATCTAGCACAGAGTAGATACTGTATAGTTAATGATTGCAACATATATGGCACAAGGTAAAGACTCATGACAAGCCATCTAGAATAAATGTACAGCAAAACGGCATAGCCGTATACAGCATGCAGCAAAACCATCGTGTACAGCGTATAGTATGAAGTGTATATAGTGTAAAATTCAAAAGGAACCGTCTTGCGGGCACGGTGCAGGTGCATCATGTACAGTGTGTAGGTGTATGGTGTATAGTGTATGGTTCGTATCGTGTATGGTGTGCAGTGTTTCGTGTATAGTGCATAGTTGTTGTTCTAGGTAACATTCCTTTCAGTGCCTCCGGAGATTTTGCAGGTGTCAGGCTTGGGACGTGCTTCAACCTCGGGTTTTAGCTCACTTGCAGGAAACGCTGCGTCGAGACTTCTGTGAGTTGTTGACTGGTTACTTCAAAGGTTGCTTCAGAAGTGGAGGGTGGGGGGGGGGGGCGGGGTGCTAATATCTTCTGTGTTGACATACTATCTTCTAGAATGCAGGCACACAGGCACAACCCGTATTCCAGCTGGCAAGGGCCCTCTCTTGTACCGTTTGCAATACCCCAAACCCTCGATCCTCTGCCCGAAGCATACCCGAGTAAGCAAGGCAAATAAGTAGGCAACTTAATAAACACATCTGCATACATTGTCAAGGCTAAAGAATCACAAAGGGATGATGACAGCATTTTCATAGATTGAAATCCGAATCCCAGCACTTGTGTAGCTTCTCACAGGTAGAGACATACTACTCGGATCGACTGAAAGTGTACAGCAGCACCCACAGATTCTCGTTGCATGGTCGGGCGAGCCGAAAGACTCTCCTGTGCGCTGGGGAGGTTCTCAAGTCCTTTGGACGGGATTTGCAGAACCTGGCATCGAGGAGCGGGGCGGCGTTGCTGTCTACTATAATGCACGGCACGGTACAATGTTGAGTCGGCGTGTAACTACACGAGACGGTGCAATGAGGTTACCTATGAGAACCTGAAGCGCCTGCTACTGCATACAGGTTTGCTTATGATGCATTTCACTTGCTCCTATCCCGAGTTGACCGAGCTTTCCATGTAGAGTTCCAGCATCATGTAAATCGCAAGTCGTGATGTTAATGAGGCCTTTATGAATGGGGATCCTTGTGGCTTCTCGTTCTGAACATCGTTATCATCAGTAGTCAGTAGGTTGATTAGGTACAACCTCCTCCTTTGAAACCTGGGCAGAGCCTTCTGCAAAGCCTACAGAGGAAGCGGCGTTGCTGCTATGATTGCTACTGCCAGTGTGTCATTGTCAGTGTACGGGTGACATTTTACACGATTGTGAAGTTTGTCGTTACTATCGAGATACCATGGCTGTATAGACCACTGGTGTTAACTGCTTAATATTCTCACTGTTATGACCGTGGGCTGTATTGAAACCACAACTAGCACTACTGACCTAGCAGCCGTTGTGATTGCCATCGTTTTTGATCCTTGTTACTCTTGTGGCTGTGCTGGTAGTTGTTGTGGTTGTTCTTCTTGTTGTTGTGGTGGTCGTCGCCATTGTTCCATGTCTGCAGGCTGGATGGCCATGACACTCGCAGTGTCGCCAGCAAGGTTCGGCATGCTTGTGCATGGTACTGCGACTGACTGCTGCTACTGCCACTGCTGCCAGCGCTACCACTCTGCTGCGCCACTGCGAACACTGCTACCTCTGCTACCGCTGCCGCTGTCCTAGTCCGACCCCGACCCCGACTCCCTCGAAGCGGGTTCTTCAAAAAAAGCCGCCAGCGTTAAGGGGGCAGCCACCTCGTCAGGTCACCACCGACAAGCTGAAATCCTCGCAGGAGGTGCTGTTTCATGAGTTCAGGGTTCAGTGCATTGGAGTCATCCATCTGGTAGACTGCGAACACAACCACCGCCGAAGGATGTCTTTCTGAAGTGTTAGCATGTGAATGCCCAAACAGAGATGGGGACTCCCTGTGGTTCGCTGTTTGTGCTCACTACGGTTGATGATATAAATCCTGCATTACCTTGATGACCCTAGACTAGGGGAATTATGGTACATTCCTTATGATGGGTACTGCAGGATTTATGTCATCAGCCGTATTATTTGCTTCGACTGCGGCACTCGAGGCTTCGGGACCTTGTACTTGGAGGTTCATGGTTATAAGTAGGGTTATAAGTCCCCTAATAGGAGTTATAAGTATCGTTACCCTACTTATAATGCCACTTATAACTACCCATGAACCCTAAACCCTATACCCTTATGGAATCCCTATAGGTCCCTTTAAAGGGGCCCTTAAAGGAACCCTTACTATAACTACCCATGAACCTCCAAATAGAACTGCCCTAGACCCTGGGTCCCCACCGAGCCACGAGCCCCAGGTCCAGATCCATCTGGGGCTTTAGTGTGTAGGATCCCCTTAATAAGGACCCCTAGGTATATACCCTTATTATAGCGATTATATACCCATTATATAGCCCATTATAGGGTAGGGGTCTAGGGTTTAGGGTTTGGGGTTGTGGTTTAGGGTTTCGGGTTCTCCTGATCTTCGAAGCTCGCAGCTCCCATGCAGTCAGGTGCTCCGCGGCGAGGTTGAGCACCGCTTTGAAACACTGGGTCAGCTCTTGGAGGTCGCATTTCCGAGTTCAGGGATGTTCAGTGAGGCTTCGATGCGCGTTCTATGGAAGGGTTCCATGAGCGTCCCCTCTTGGCTCGTTACAGGGTTCAAAGTTCGAGGTGTGAGGTTTGGCCTTGAGGACTTAGGCGGGGCTTCAGGGGGCAGAGTTGTAGGGTTGTGCTAGGATAAAGAAGGCACCATGAAGGCGGTGCATGAAATACTGTTAAAAAATGTAATATTTTTTATTATTATTATCATATTATTAAAACATTATATTATTGCTATATTAGTATATTATTATATTACAGCAACGAGCATCTTTACATCATCACTAGGTCGAAGTCAAGAGCATTACACATGGACTCCCTGGCAAACGGCCTTGAACCCCGAGCCCTGGCTTCTGGCGGCTTTGGGGTGGAGGCCCTACCAGTGCGAGCCTTAGGGCATGAGGAGGGTAGCCTCGATCTCTCCGTGTCCTGCCCTGTCCCTTTGACGGGACTCAACCAAGGCCCCCTGCAGAGCCCCAGTCCAGTGTAGCCAGAATCATCCGGAGGACACGCGTGCTGTTGCTGATGCAGCCAGGCTGTCGCAGCAGGCTTCTGCGAGCCCTAAACCCTAAACCCTAAACTCCCTAAGCTGGACGGAAGTTCGGTCGGTGCTTTGCAAGCCTTTTGAGCCTCCTGCTGACTGTGCCGCTCTAGGTCATAGGAGTGATAACTCGGCATGCAACGTCTCGTAGTGGATTCCTACTTGCTTTGGCGACCTGGAGCAGGCTGCCTGAGGCGCTTGAATGTTCCGTTTTGTCTGAACCATGCCGCTTGAGGTACTGTTCTGGGCTGCTCTAATTTTATTGGGTACCTTGTGTTTTTCAGTTACTTCAGTCTGATGTTCAGGGTCACTGCGGATGGTTCCGAGTCTGTAGCTGCTGCGTGCCACACTTGAGGACCTCAGGACTGCGAGACCGTCTTACCTAGTTCGATATCATACACTCAGATTGCTATCTATCTCTGTCTCATGCAGGTCCTCATACCAGGCTCTACCTATTAGGTATTCCGACTGTAGCAGAGAGGAAAAGGGCCCTCAAACAAAAAAAAACTCCCTAAACTCTAACCCCTGAAACCTTAAACCCTAAACCCGCATGTGCTTGTAGTTCAGGCCTACGGCCCAAGTAGAGTCGGAAAAGGCTGCAGCTCTCCAGGGCTTATAAACCCACTTATAACTACCCATGAACCTCCAATTACATTAGCTGTAACATGGTGGACCGGGCAGGCGGAGGGCGAACGCTGCGCCGAGGAGCTGGGCGAACTGTCGCCCGGCCGCATTTCTGACACGTCCATGTTACAGCCAATGTAGGGGTCTCAATAAGTAGAATAGGCTTCCGGGGTATATTATACTTATAATAAGGAACCCTAAAAATGGCACGCTGGGATTTCCTCCCCGCCTGTCCTTCACGGCTTCAGCTTGAACCGATGCATTTTTCTGAAATCTGTGCCATTTGTGGCAGGCAGCACGCGGCCAAGGCACAGGCAGCGCAGCAGGAGGAAAAGCTCTGTCGGATTTCTGTTGCTCGGTAGGTCTTCCGATTTTTTCGACTGCAGAAGGAGGGACTCCGGAGAGTGTCTAGGAAGACATCGCCGAGAGAGACTTCGCATGGAAGTGCACTATCATGTGGTGACAGAGCCAGGAGCTGCAAAGCTGGCACACGACCTTGTCGCAGCAGCTGTTGGAGTGATTGCCTCGGCTGGTGCTGTGGCGATGTCGCCGGATGCTCTTGTGGCACTTCTGCGTGCATGTGATGGCATGGAACTCACGATGATTCCTGCGATGGCTGATCTCGATACGGCTTGTACATACATGGTGTCGAGGGCATGAAATACAGACGTACTCACCCTCTCTCTCTATATACAGTATATAGTACATATTATATAGTATCTGGTATATAGAATATATCATATAGTATGTAGTATATGGTATATAGTATATATATATATGTGTGTGTATATATATATATATATATATACACACATATTAAAGGGTGTACATGCACATGCGTATGTATAGGTATATGCATATGCATATGTGAATGTATATGTGTATGTCCATATCCATATTCATATCCGTATCCACATCCATCCATCCGTTCATTCATCCATCTCTACATACATAGTTTCATAAGCGCAAGTATGCATTCAGCCGGTGCATGCGCATGCATAGAAGTACTACTGCCGGAAAGGTAATTGATAAGTTACATGGCGCAGTGTAGCAGCGCAGAATGCTCCTCTTCTGCAGCCGTGTCTCAAGTTGGGCCAAAGACGTCCGCAGTAGCTGCCTCATCAAGCAACTGGAAGAGCTCCTAGTACACAGTTAACGATGGCCTTGAACAATGCTCAAACAAACATCTCACACAAAGGATCAAGCGAGCTTAATTTAGGGTTTAGGGTTTAGGGTTTAAGACAGGGTCGGTCCAATGAGACATGTGCCGACGATCATGCCTTAGCAATGCTGCTCAATGCGGCTTACGGTTTTGACAGCTAGTACCTCTTTCATTTGGGAGTTAATTTTTGATCGAGTAAGACGCTGACAGCGAAGATGGGCAAAGGTAAGGGCAAGGGAAAGGGCAAGAAGGAGCATGCTGACTGCTGCGACCGCTCGAAGTAGCTTGAACCCGGACGCACGATCTCGGAGTTTTCTGTTTCATTTCTTCTATCGCCACTCTGCCAACTATCAGCCTTTCGAGGACGATGACGTGCTGTGCGCATTGGTTGAGTGCCTCGGCCGAGCTTGCTTTAGTAGGCTCTTTTCTCCAGGTTGCCGTATTGGAAAAAGCAACCACAAACAAGAGCAGCATCGGAATCACGTAAGTTGAGAATGTTGCGACGTTGCAGTGTTGGCAGGCACCTTCGTACTTCCGCGTGGCATGTCAAGGGCCGTTTGAACTGCAGTGTAGCGGCAGAGCAGGTTCCTGATCTCCACCCTGTCACACCCCAAGCACAACCCGCCACTGCAGGTACGTCCGTGGCATCAAGGCTAGAAAGTGGACCCTTCAGATTGGTCAGACCTACGACGTGGGCCGCGCAGGCATGACCGGGGCTGGACTTAGCTTCTGAGAGCTCGGCAACACATTTAGAGGCTTCGGTCCCGGTTAGGTTTCGGGGGTGGACGTCGAAATACATATATGTATATAGATATATTATGTATATACACATATATCACTCAATCATATACATATATATACACATATATATATATATATATATAACAGGCTCCATAAAACCGAAGAGCAGCCTTGATCCCATCGTAACCAGGAGGCTGTGTGGACGTCGAGATCGATCACCCCTCGCTCTCCCGCAAGCACTGCACCCTCGTCCCGTGTCCGAAAATAGGGGTACCTTTAAAGGGTTCCTTAAAGGGTTCCTTAAAGGGATCTATATGGTCCTCGTCCCCTGGCACAGGGAAGTGGGAGTTTCCGAAATAGGGTTACTATAAGGATACTATAAGGGTTCCTTTTAAGGGATCCTTAAAGGGATCTATAATAAGGGTTCTATAAAGGGTTTAGGGTTTAGAGTTTCCGAAAATAGGGTACCTAATTTACGGGTCCTTATAATAAGGATCCTATTATTTATAGGGGTACCTTATTTACGGGTCCGTATAATAAGGATCCTAGTATTTAGGGTATTATATTAGGGTCCCCCTATTTTCGGAAGCCCCCCAAGTGTTGCCAGGTGCCCCCTGGTCAACCCTGAGCCCTAAACCCTAAAGCCTACGCCCTAAGACCTAAACCCGACACCCAAACTCCCTAAACCCTGCTTAGAGGATCATGGGACTTAGTAAGTACGGTTGTAACTACCTTAATTGGGGTTATAAGTAGTTATAAGTATAGTTACCTTAAGTATAACCCTAGCTACTATCTCCCATGATCCTTTAAGTAAACCCTACGCCCAAACTCCCGAAGCCCGAAGCTTAACATCTATTCATCTGCTCTCTTATCGCCCAGAAGCCCAGGCAATCACCCAGGTAGACTCCGAGCTCATCCTCGTAGCCCTGGACCATGGGTCTACGAACGGAACCTTCATCAACAAGTCGCGCCTCGAGAAGGACAGGAATCGGAGCTCCGGCAGCTCCAACTTGTTTACAAAACTCCACAACCCTACCTGTCCGTTTCCCGTATAGTTCAGGCAGTACTGATAGCAAGTTTGGCACCGTCACTACTGCGGTTGTGGTTGCAGTTGGGATTCGTTTACGGCTCTTCCGATCGTCACCACCACCACGACCACCACCATCATCACCACCATCGTCATCATCACGACTGCTTCTCGTGTTGTCTTGGTCATGCATGAGTGCAGCTTTTGTAGCTTCGGAGGGCGAGGGAGTCAAGATGCCCGTTGCGGATGTGAAGCACATCGTCTTCGGGGAATGCAGCCTGGGGCGGATGTCTTCAGTTTTGTCTTTACTGTTTTGTTTTGGGTGTTTTGTAGAGGTTGGTCGCGTTTTTTTAAGGGGGGGGGGTGTTGAGGCTTTTTGGGTTCGGTTACATGTTCTGTGGCTCAGGTCCAAATGGCTACAAGTTCCTTGTGAAGGATCAGGAGGCTTGGGTTGGCAGCAAAGTTCACTTGTGAAGCAGGCATCCCGCATCCTCAGGAGGGCAGCCAATTCTTCCCGAGTAAGCTTCATGATAAAAGCGTTCTGGAATTCATGAACCATGTCTCACGCCTTGTGCTAGAGGTCGATGCTCTTCCAGCAGACGGCGAGGAGTCGATGCCTGTGGCATCGAAGGAGGTCGACCAGGCTGCCGATGTTCTGTCGCCATGGTGCTAGAGGTGGTTTTGTCGGTGGTGTGGTTGTGGTCCTAGTCCTGGAAGTGCGGTATGTAGTGGAGCGGTACCAGTAGATTCAGCAGATGTTGATGATGATGGGCAGCGATGATGATGACGATGAACTTGGTTATCATCACGATCAGCAGGGCAAACACGGCAATCATAATCAGTGACCGTCAGCACCGTTATCACAGTCGCCATCACAGGCATGATGATCATCATCATCATGACCACCATCACCATCATCGTCATCCCCATCATCATCCCCATCATCATCATCATCATCATCGTCATCACCATCAGCATCACCTGAGTCATCATCACCATCATCCCCGTCATCATCACCATCATCTTCATCTTCGTCGTCATCATCATTTTCTTTGCCAACACCACCACCATCTGCCCCTCGGTTCCTCCGCCCATCACCACACCGCCCCATCATCCCATCACGCCCATCACCCTATCACCTCTTTCTCCCATCACTCCATCGCCCCATCAAATCGTAGTATTTGTGTCCATCGAGCGAATGGATGCCACAAGTGAGTCGCCACTTTGCTACGTGGCAACAACAGCGCCGAAACTGGCACGATGCGGCACAGTGACAAGGTAGGTAAAAAGCCCAGGCCGATACACAAAGCCCAAGTATGCAAGCCCGCAAACCACGAAGCATCGAGGGTGTGAGACCTGAGCTCTTTCGCCAGCCGAGCCATCATCCTAGTCCCCAAATCCAAGATCCCCGAAACGCCGAACCAGCCACGAAATCCTAACACCTAAACCACAAACCTTAAATTGTGAATCCCAAACCCTCAACCGAATCCTCAACCCTGAACCCTAAACTTCAACCTAGACCTTACACCCTAAACCCCAAGCACACCTCAAACGGCTGTCCAGCGCGAGCAGCACGTGGACGCCTGGGCTCGAGGCCCCGACGGTGGGAAGGCACCGAAGGCAGCGCAAAAGCGAGCCTTGGCAGAATCTTAATGTCTTCATAGTTAGAATTTTTTAGGGTTCAGGGTATAGGGTTTAGGGTTTAAAGTTAGAATAGGATACCTTTAAGGGTTCTTCAAAGAGTTGCTACAAGGGTTCCTGTATGGGTGCTGTACTACAGGGGCCTTAATGATTGGAAGAAGGTTTTGGGCTATCTCATACTGTCTGTAGTCATGGAACCCTCAGGAACAACATTAGTAGTCGCTGTTGATGCCAGTCGTGCCAATCACAGTTATCGCTGCACTTGGAGTGGAAATGGATTGTTGCTTCGATCAACATGTCAACGGCTGGGAGAACTTCAACGTTGTCATCGCTCGAGCAAAGCCATTCCAAGGCCCGGCGCCCGAAGGAGGCAATCGGAAAGAGCGTCGCGCAGCCATGCGCGCCAAGGCCGAAGCAAAGGCACGAAGGGGGCCGGGCCGAGCTGAGTTCAAGGCTTGGGACCTGGGGTTTAGTGAGGTGTACGACTGAAGATCAGCGGCTGGGAGTTGAGGGTCTGTGTTTGGGTTCATGCAAGTTTGGACTGCGTGCCACAAGGCCTTCTTTCGTGAGTTCGGAGAGGAGCGCCTTGCGATAGAGATGGGCTGCTGCGAAGGGCACGTGTCTGGAGTTTAGACTCTTGACCTAGTCGTCGTTGCGGCCATTCAAGGTCGTTGTTTGACCTGCCGTAGCCCAGCAGACTTGCACTGGCAAGCCCACATTAAATCCCGAGTCTTAAGCCGAAGATGTGCGAAATGTTGGCGTGCAAGAGTTGTGGTGCTCGGCATCAGCTTAACCGCAACATTAACCCGAGTCCGTCAGCCAGAAGTCAGGGAGACAAGTCCAAGTCTGCATGGCGCTCTGCAGAGGCCGCCCGGATTCCGAGGATTCTATGAATAGCTTTGAAACTGACTGGGGGTTGTGGCGATGAGCCACCAGTACGTACGATGTGGAGTTCAGTCGGGTACTGTGGCCGGATCTTCGTTCAGGGTTTGAAGACTAAGGGCAGATAGGACGAATGTGGTTGGCTATACGTGGTGCGGGTGCAGCAGCTAGCTTAGCAAGCAAAGTCAGGAATGTGGACGAAGAAGTCAAGGCCCTGTGGTCTTGCGTTTGGGTATCAGTTTTCCGCCCCCTGTGGTCTTGCGTTTGGGTATCTAGGAGCGGCGACAAGAAGAGCAATCAGGAAGATTATCAGAGGTTGTCCATCCAGGATGCCGGCTGTCACCACCCCCTTACACAGCCGGTATAGAACCCTTACAATTGTGCCTTTGTACAGCCCGTACAGAGCCCCAGAGCCCCTGTAGAGAACCCTCAGAGCATCCTGAAAGTACCTTTGCAGAGGCGTCTGCCTTGGCAGACCGCGTCAAGGCGAAGCATGGAGGGGCGCAGGCATCTCGCATCATTTGATCCCGTCTGAATACTTGGAAGAGGTTTTTGGGATGAATCATACTATGGGCTTCATTACTCTATCCATGATCCAACTTCTGGAAAAATCGGGTCCCAGATCAGATAGGTTCTGCCCCGTTTGTCACGATGCTTCGGTTTACACTCGCTGCAGCACACTCAGGGGAGTAAAGGCTGCGTGGCTAGGGGCATTTAAGAGCTAAGCGGTTGCCGAGACGGTACCGGTGGCTTATGCTCCAACCAGTGCCAAATCTTGACAGGGCCAGAATCTCAACATCGAGTGGCCGGACGAATGGAAGTGAGAGTGCAGAATGCTGCGGATGCGGCCTGCGTGGAGGAAGCAAAAGGGGCACTTCTGAATCCTTCATACAGCACTGACGTAGCCAACAAGCTGCCTTTCCACTTTCAAGATGGACACGAGCACCGCTCGTGAGAAGCCAGCATCCACCATCGTCCATAGTTGTCAAAGACCTGTGCTGAGCTTATTTCCTTCCCGGGCTGGCTCTGAGGCTGCGCCAGCAGAGCCTTTCTGAGCTGAAGCTCTGCATGCAGCATCAGCAGGAGGAGGTTCGCCTGTCTGGGATTATTGATGTTGAGATGAGCTCGGGGAGATTCACTCAGCGAGCACTAAACTTCACTAAACCCCCTAAACCCTAAAGCCCTCAAGACCCAAAACTTAAATCCTAAACCCTAAGCCATAATCCTACAAATGCCCGACAACCCTAAACCCCAAACCCTACACTCCTAACCCTAGACCCTGGGGTTCACTGAAGCCTAAAACCAAACCCTAAACCCAAGCCTTAAGCAGCAGTTGACCAAACAGGCTCAGAGACGCGAGGAGCACGTGGAGGCTGCTCGGGGCTTCGGTAGCTGTGCAGTTTTAGGGTTTAGGGGCTTAGGGTTTTTTTAGGGAGTTTTGGGCTTTAGAGAGTTTAAGGTTTAGGCATTGGGGTTTTGGCAAATTGGGGTTAGTGTCACATGCTCCAATGGCTGGTGGTTGCAATACTGGTCCTCTGACAAAAGGATTTGGGAGAATGATTGCGAATATTCTTGTCATTGGCTCAGGGTTTAGGGTTATTAAGTACGAATTGTACTATGAGACATGTCATCATTGCTATTATTCCTGCACCTGCATGGTTGCGGCATCTGGTAGCAATGCTCATTGTTGGGTTGCCCAGTGTGCAAACCACCAATGAGCATTGCTACGAGACTTGCACAGGATCAAACTCGGGTCGCAAATGGCAATAAATCAGTTTCTGAGCATTGACGAAGAGATCTTGGTTCAGCCCTAACCTTAAGCACGTTTACAGCCGATGAGAGAAGCGAAGGAGCAGCAGGCAGCAGTTGCGTCGGAGCTGCACCGAGATATGGAGCAGCTCAGGCGGGTGCTGGGGCAGTGGCCACTCAGTGGCCATGTCATCCCGTCTGTAGTGTTGCAAAAGCACATGCAGCTATCAGCGGCGATGTTAATCTTGTGACAAGGAATAAAAATTTCAAAATTTTTAATCCTATCCCACCCATGAACTAGCCTTGCCGTTGGAGCTCGCCAGAGGCCATACCTGGAGGTTCATGGGTAGTTATAAGTAGGGTTATAAGTCCCCTAATCTAATAGGAGTTATAAGTATAGTTACCCTACTTATAGCCCCACCTGTAACTACCCATGAACCTCCAAGTAGGGTCTACTGTGTGGTCGCAGGTCTTGGATACAGGAAGAAGTTGCCCAGCGGGTAGACAACGCAGAGGGCGCTGTTCGGTGCCCCTGCAGCGCATGCACCGATATCTGCCATTGAAAGCCACAGCCACGGATCTCGCAGCTAGGGTGATAGATGTAGCTAAGACAGCTAGGACTCTTGGCTCTGTGCCCTGCGTGAGATCATGGATCTGATGGGTGTTTGGTCACGCAACATTGGTTTCGCAACCTGCTATGGAAGCTTGAAGACAATCGGCTGTTTCTCAAAAAGGCCTACAGCACCTCGAAACCGCCACGGCATGTTTGTGCGGCCTTCCCTTTCACCAGTAAGACACAGCTCCATGTCTACTGTACCGCAACGGAAAGTTTCCGGTGACTATCGTTGACCCTAGGGGCTCCTGCAGATATCGGAACTCCTGAAACTCCTTCCTGTGAAGTTGAACAGCCATGTGCTCTCTTCACTTTCCTTTCCATGAGATCTTAGAGATCCTGACGACCGTCGAGAGTATGACCTTGGTCTGTCGCGGTCCCGCGGCGCGAAAGCAGAAACACTTACGGTTCCACAGGATTGATGTCTACGATCTTTCGACATTTCGACGGTTTGTCGTGCGGCTAACTTGACATCAGATCTGGGCAACCTTCCGCCGGTTTGCGAGGTACTTCCAGGATCACTTCGTTCGCGCGCAGGCATTTGTGTTGTGTCTTTGTTGCGATCGTTGTCCATGTTGTGCCCAGCCTGCGGGGTAGAAAAGCCTGCTGGCAACAGCAACACAATGCAGCCAGATAGCCCTGGTTAGGCACGATACCCTCCAACATCCAATATTTGTTGGTCTGGCACTAGTCAAGTAGTAGTAGCAGGAGTAGGAGTAGGAGTAGGAGTAGGAGTAGGAGTAGGAGTAGGAGTAGGAGTAGGAGTAGGAGTAGGAGTAGGAGTAGGAGTAGGAGTAGGAGTAGGAGTAGGAGTAGGAGTAGTAGTAGTAGTAGTAGTAGTAGTAGTAGTAGTAGTAGTAGTAGCAGAAGCAGCAGTAGTAGTAGCAGTGGCAGTAGTAGCAGTAGTAGTAGTAGCAGCAGTAGTAGCAGTGGTGTAGTGGTAGCAGCAGAGGCGGCCACCACCACCAATAAGCATGATACGAATTATGATGAGAGCAAGCGCATCAAAGATCACAGGTGGCAGCAAGGAGCCATGGGCTATGTTCAGCGACTAATGATGTGTAAGCGTGGAACGACAGTCACCGCAACAAGAACAAGGCCAGCAGGAGAGAGTAAGCACGATCGACACCAACTAAGTCTAATGAATGCAGTGATGAGCAGCGCTGTCTATAGCAAAAGTGCCACACGCAGATCGTGCCAAAGTCACAGGAGCTGTCCGAGTCCACGTTCCACCGCAAGGTGACCTGGATGGCCTCTGCCCGAGTGCTACTGCCAAGTCGGCGTGAAAGTTCCCCGGTGCAAACCCGAAGCCCCAAACAGCACACCCGAAGTTGAGAGTTTTCCCAGCCATATTGCTTCGCCCTTCTTGTCGAATGGCACTCACAGCCAAATCCGGCTCGGTCCCAGTATCAGCATCAGCCTCAGCATTAGTACCAGCAGGTATCGTATCGTATCGTATCGTATCGTCATCATAATTAAGTGTCAGCAAGGCAGCAGCAGTAGCAGCAATAGCAGCAGCAGCAGCCGCAGCAGCCGCAGCAGCAGCGGCAGGAGCAGTAGTAGCAGTCGTCGTCGGAGTCCACGTCAGAGTCGCAGTAGTTCAGCAGTGGGCTTGTCATGCGGTGGTTGTAGTTGTGATTGATGCGGTGTCTGTTAGTGGAGGTGGTGGTTGCTGGGCAGTGGCAGCGTCATGAATCGTGGCCGTGGCGATGTGGCTATTTGTCTTTGTTTCCTTCTCAAGGTGAGAAGCGTAACACCGCGCTTGAGACACGCCGTGAAGTCCAAGGCACCACAGATGTTTAGGGGGCATGGAAGTGCCTTGTTGACTGGACAGAAAGGTTCGTTCTTACGAGAGAGTTTCTCCGCCCAGGATTTGGTTGCATACTTCTGCATCTCTGGATCTCTGAATTTCTGAAACGTTGCTCCAAGCAACGGGACATTGAAGCAGTGGCTTGGGCGCTTGGTCCTCGATCGGCGCTTATTCAGCACGGGTCACTGAGGTTCCCGCCGTGAATGGCCCGGAGCCCACAAACCGTCCTGAAGTCTTGGAAGGAATATCCCCGCCAGGGGCACGCAAAATTGTCAAGGCGGTTTAGGGTTCCTAAAACTTTGAGAAATGCTCTGAACCTAAACCCCAAAACCCCATGACCCTAATCCAAACCCCTTCCCCGCTGGATCCGCCACAGGGCGAAGTGCAATGCTTCGTGTCCCCCGAGCTTCACTTCGCGGGCCAGCGCCTTGCCCCGCCCCCAAGGAACAGCGACGCACGGATGCAGGTTGAAGTTCTAGCAGTTAGCAGAGACGCCGAAGTAACTGCAGCCTTGACTGACTTGCATCTTTCCGATTCCTTTGTTTTGAGTCCCTTCGTTGCCGGACCCAGGTTCTGGAACTTCAACTTCCAGCCGTGGAAGACTTGGAGGCATCGGGGTCTGCGAGCTCTTTCGAAATTTCTCAATTCGGGGTACCACTTGTTGTTGCGTCCGTGAAGGAGCATGCTACTGCTGCTACTGAAGGATCTAAGTTGGGGTTTATTTGTTTCTGGAAATCCCCTATCAGTCATCCGGCAGTCACATGCTGTCATTCGTTCAGTCGGCTTCGGAACGACGATTACCCTTGGGGGGGAGAGGACATGCCCTAGTCACCGGCACATATCGCAGTCGCAAAGAGTGTTTTCGTGTACGCTGAACAGCGCCTCGAATCAGATATGGGAGTTTCCGGAAGTAGGGGACCCTACTATAGTCCCCCAAAATAGTAGGATCCTTATAAAAATCAAAAAGGAGCCCAAAATAAGGTACCCCTAATATTCGGAAGCTCCCATATTTCAATGCAAGTCTCCCAGGCCTTTCTGGCTGTCCATGGCCCACCGCCAGCCGCACCGCTGCCCGGGGTTTGTGCCGTCCGGATCTGGGCCCGCCCAGGCCGGCCCAGGGGGGGAATGATGGTTTCAACCTTAAAGGGATCCTTAAAGGGGTTCCTTGACGGGTTCCTGAAAGGGATCTACAGGGGTTTAGGGTTTAGGGTTTAGCAACATCCTGAGTCCTCGGCGAACGGCACGAGCTTCGAGCTTTGGGTGTTGAGGTATAGAAGCACTTCTTGGGCATTCGCGGTTGAGGTTTCGCAGCATGGACACTTGAAGGTTGAGCACTTCCACACGCGAACCTGTGAAAACCGACCCTGGGGAAATGGCGGTCACACACACAATGCGTACACTTTTGAGCAGACCTTCGAAATATCGTACTCTTTCCGAAGTGCTGGGCCGTATAAGTTTGAATGAGGGAACGAACCAATATTGTTGGAACAGGAGGGTGCCTGCAAACGCAGGAACGTGGTAGATTAAGGCGAGCAACAGTCAAAATGGGAGTTTCCGAAAATAGGGGACCCTAATGTAGTACCCTAAATAGTAGGATCCTTATTATAAGGGCCCCAAAATAATGTACTCCTAATTTCGGAAACTCCCAAATCTTGCCTGTTCTGGCGGTAGGCATCCGACTCGCCTGCCTTGTCGCGCTCGGTGACAGCGCTGTCACCGGGGGCCGTGCCGCAGAGCACCTTTTCCCGGTGCAAGCCTGAGGGCTTCAGATAGTATAGTCATAGTCAGTATCGTATATTATAGTGTTGTATGTTATACTGTCGTATAACATAGTATAGTATCGTAAGCTTATCTTTGAGGATTTGAGGGTTCTTTGCTGAGGCTGTGCTTTGCATGCGAGATGTTTCTGGTGCGGGTTGGTTGGCCCCTTCTTTCGAAGCTCAGACTGTTCGCTGGAGCGAAGGTTTTTCATTCCAACGGCAGCTAGACTGAGCTGCTTATCCTGCTGCAGGTCAGTCAGTAGTGCATCGTAAGACATGATGTGCGGTGGTGAAGATGCAGTACTTAAAGGATCATGGGACTTAGTAACTAGGGTTATAATTAAGGTAACTATACTTATAACTACTTATAACCCCAATTAAGGTACTTATAACCTTACTTACTGAGTCCCATGATCCTCCAAGTAGACCTATGCAGGAGCCTGGAGCAGTTTCGGACGAACTCGGGCGCGTTCCGTGGCAGATTGCGCACGTAGGTCGGGACCTCGAGTAATGAAAGTTCCGGCATCGTGACAGTTTAAATAAATATATAGTATAATATGTATGTATGTATGTATGTATGTATATATATATATATATGGTCGTAAAGATATGTACATACTTGCTTACTTAGCTGCATATGTACACGCTGATGTATGCTTGGATATATATATATATATATGTATATATATATATATATATATATGCATAAACTAATAAATAATCAAATAAGTATATATATATATATATATATATATAGATACGCATGTAGACGTACATTTCTATACATACGCACCTGTGTGAGTGTTGGCTGTGTGTTTATGATTTGTGTTTATGCAGACCTGTAAACTATTATGCATGACTTGTTGCACCAAGCCGCAAGCCACCACCTGTGAAGTATATGTATATTTATGTAGATATGTGCATATATATATATGTGCACATGCTTCTATGTGTATAGGTACACATCAACAAATAAGCACAGATATATGCATACACACATAAATATACACACATATGAGTATGCGTCCAAAGTCTATCAATGCACATGTAATCCGGATGAGTACATCCGTGCATAAGTTTTCGTTCATCGCAGTTTTTTTACGTTGTGTAATGTAATGTCTAATTCAATGCTACTAAATTCCGTTATATCATATTGCGCCGTATTATAGTAGAATTACTTATACTATAATATTATAACATGTTCTAGTAAAGTATATTATATACATGCATACCCATACATGTAAGTATATGTATGTACATCGGCAGATGGATAGATAGTTAGATAGATAGAACAAGGTACAGTATTGAACAGCAGACATTTGATTCCAGGTTGTGAGGCAAATGGGGCAAGGAGGAAAGTCGTGCGCGCAAGAGACATGAATGGGGCCCGTGTGCCAAAAGGCCATTCCGGTTTTCAAGCATGAGAGGATGGTGCTGACTACGATGGTGCAAACTCTGATTATGCGGGTGGTCACATCGTGGTGGTTGGCGGTGGTGGTGGTGGTGGTGGTGGTGGTGGTGGTGGTGGTGGTGGTGGTCGCTGTAGTCGTCGTCGTCGTACTCGTCGTCATAGCTGCAGCCGAGGACGAAGTCGTAGTCTCCGTCGTCGTGGCGGCGCTCGTAGTGGTATCAGTATCAATGTTACGAGTCAATCTCAATGTTGGCAGCAATACGAGCACAAGCGGCAGCAACATCAGTTTGCTGCTCCAGGATGAATGCACACAGGTTTCAGGCATGATCAGTGTCACGAGCCTCGCGGCAAGACTAATTTAGAAGATAATCCCAGGCGAGTTCTTTCAATCTTGGGATCGGCGCACGGACTCTCTGACGGTCTCACTCGAGGTTGGAACGGTCCGTAATGCTTGGGCATTTGGTGTTTTTGCTCCGCTTCTCAAGCGTTGTGGACCTCGACAGACCCGGGGGATTGAATCTCTAAACAGTTTATGATTGCCAGTGAGACACAGTGACCGGTTGATGTGAGCCATGCCTGTATGGTCTCTTGTGAAACTGTCGTTCCTGCGGTTTGCCAGAAACCGAGAACAATGTGCCAGCTGCAATAGTGCGGCAGGTCCTTGAGATGCGCGTGCCGCCACCCGAGAGGACAAGTTCGGGCGGGAACGAGCAAGTTCAGCCGAAGTATATATGTATATATGTATATATATATATACATATATATATACATATATATATATATATATTTATTTATACTAACTATGTGTATGTGTGTATTTGGACTCGGTCCAGAACCTGTCTCTGGCGATCTATCTACATGTAGATATGTATGCATATCTATCCGTATATATATATATATATATGTATGTATGTATGTATGTATGTATGTATGTATGTATGTATGTGTGTATGTATGTGTGTGTGTATGTATGTATGTATGTATAAGCATAGATATAAATATAAATATAAATATATATATATATATATAGGTACATATATATATATATATATGTTTCTATCTATCTATCTATATATATATACACATATTGATAAGAGTGAGAAGAAGGAGCAAAAGCAATAAGCAACAATAACAATCAAGGACACCAAAACACACAATACAAATAAATAGTCATTAACAACCACAGTTCAGTGAACAACAATAATCGTCATGATGCAGAAAGGCTAATCACAGTGTATACACTCGTATACACCTATCCATATATATATATATATGTATATGTATGTATGGTGTATATGTATATGTACACGGAAATTTGTTTGGTATCGGGTTTAGGGTCTCGGGTTTACTCTTTCGGGTTTAGGCTGTCGGGTTTAGGGTTTTCAGAGTTCAGGGACCACCAAAAAGCAGGCCGCCGTGGCTTCCCACAAGCGTTATCGAGGAGGCACCAAGGGGTGCAAGGGACGTAACGGATGGCTCGTTTTGAGACTTTTCTGGATTCTGGGCATGCAGGTCAACTGTGACGTGGTGCTGTTTTTGATACTACCAGTACCTTACCTACCTTCTTTCATAACTTTGGTAGATGTTGCTCTAGCTTGGTTCAAGGCTTCGCCCTCTGCCACCGGCTTGCATCCAGCTGACGAGCTGTGGCTGTGCTGCAGAGGGCTTCCCACGTAGGTTTCGGGGGCATGACCAAGGCCCTGAGTAATTTGCCATACAGCTCCCCTGCAATCAGAGTACAGATGGACACCAAACCCCGAAATCCTCCCCGAATCAGATGGGGCCTGTACTGTATTGGCCGCTTCAACCCTCGACACGTTTTCCCGACCACGTGTTGCTTTTGCAGGTTCGTGCTTTGCAACGATTGTGGGGCCAGTGCATCTAGCAACAAAGTGCGTCAGCTGCCAGAACTCTCTAGGCCAGCCCCAGACCCTAATCAAGCCCGTTACAGCACTGAACCTGGAGAAACCCACGTTTGCCTCAAAACCCGGGTTGCAGACAGCCAAGCGATCCGAGGAGTTACACGAATCATCTGGCAGGGGAAGCACTGGTGCAGGACTCTGCACTCAAGCTCTGCTTCTGCGAGGGTGCCATGCTTCCTGAGCATCTGACAGGGCCCGTGTGGCCGTTCTGAGCGTTTAGCCGGCCTGAAGGTCTTTCAGGTCAAGGTCTGCTTGAAGGATCCAATCTCGCTGCACTGTTCTTGCATTTATTAAGCGGCAGGCCTCGAGGTCCCCAGCGGGTGAAAAGCTGATGCGGGTTGGGCTTTCCCTGCTTCTTCCAAACGCGGTCCCTGTTTCGATGCATCCTAGGGCGTAGGGACAGGGGACGAGCTGTGAAGTGGGGGCTAGGAGCGGGTGTCCGCTGATCTGCGGCGGCTGCTGGACTTTGTGTTCAACGGACATAACGCTTTCAACATGTTGTCTAAGGGCTGCGCTGGCTTCAGATTAGATTCTGATGCTTCTTCGGATTTTGAGAGCCGGTGGCAATCGTCGAACTTCTGCGAAGGGATTAGCTGCAGCATCAGTTTCCACCTGCTTCGAGACGTTTTGGGGCCGGTGGTCTTGAGCATCAAGTTCTAGATGGATGGTAATGATGTTCAATATGACGATCAGCTTCACTGCGGCAATGATGTTAATGAGGACAGTATCATGACCCCCCCCCCTTTGCGTGCCGTTTAGCAGAGCCTCCACCCCCCCCCCCCCTTCGAATCCCTAAAGCCTCGTGAAAGAACCTCGAAACTCAGGCTTTGGTCCCTTGGCACTCGCCGCATGGAGTGGACCTTGGAGGGCTGCAGCAGGCGGCAGAGATCAGAGCTGGGAGCAAGTAAGAACATGCAACCGTGACGGTGCCTGCGACTGCGACTGGGACCGCTATTGCGACGACGACTGCGACTTCGACTACTGCTAGGCCTACTGCGACCGCGACTGCGGCTCGCACGAGTACGAGTGCGACTACGACGACTAGGACTATAGGGCTAGGGCTTGGGCTGCTAGCTATGACTATGAGCCCGAGCACAACTACCAGTGCGAGTGCGTGTACGAGTACGACGACGTCCGCCAATACCACCACGACGACGACTACTACTACGACGACGACGACGGCGCTGACTTACGCTGGACGTTGGCGACGATGCACCCTACGTCGGGCTTCTCCGAATTCCGAACCTCATGACCTCTGGGAAAGCCGCCCCGGACTGTGTCACTATTGGCACTAGGATTCGATGTATTGTCTGTTCCGGAAGTGGCCGATTGCGAGGCTTCTACAGCGAGCTCAACCAGGCCACTTCGTTGAGAGCCCATTCTTCGCTTGCGCTGGCCTCGAGGTGCCAGGGTGGGACGGGTGAACGAACGCGCAAGTCGTATGCCTTTAATCACATTCCCAGTTTATGCTTGGCATGAAGCCACAGAGGTTTTAAAGTATTATATTATGACTATTATATTAGAATATTATTATATACAATTAGAGCCGAGGCTCTGAGAGTCTAGAGTCTAGAGCCACTTTGTTTGGATTCTGGGGTGCAGGGCCTGGGTTTCAAAGCTAAGACCGAGACTTTCGAGCTTTCTTGTTGTGTTTCAGGGGTCTGCTTGGAGGTTCATGGGTAGTTGTAAGTAGAGTTGAAAGTCCCCTAATATGATTTATAAGTATATCCGGATCTCTGCTCCGAGCTCCTGAAGCTCGAAGCTGCAAAAGGAAGCTCAATGAAGAAGTAGGGGTGTTTCATCTGCCTGCTCATAAACCCTAAACTCTAGAGCCTTTGTAAGCCAACCTGCATGGCCAGGGCCTCTCGTTGCGGCTCTATCCGCGCGGTGCCGCTGTCGAGGTCTCGGGTGTTGGGGCCCTCAATGTGGGAGTTTCCGAAAATTAGGGGTACCTTATTTGGGGGTCCTTATAATAAGGATCCTACTATTTAGGGTACCATTTTCGGGTCCCCTATTTTCGGAAACTCCCATGTGAATCCGGCCTGAGACTGGCACTTAGAAGCCGTGATAAGCAAGCTCCTGAGCACCAGAAACCAAGCATCCTTCTACAGGGATCTTGATATTTTCCTCTTCTATTTTCGGAGTTCCTTGTTGTAATTATATGACCCAAAAACCCTAGTCTAATTATTTGAGGCCCCTATGTTACATCAGCTCCCCAACCACCGAACACAAGCAAAGACATCCGAGAATCTGGGTTTAAGCCAGGACCCTAAACCCTAAACCGCCAGGCGGATTCAGGTGCAGCACAGAGCTCTCTGATGCTTCATTGCGAAGAGCGGGTGTCCCTGCGGGGCACCATGTCAATAGGCCAGATGCGAGATTCATGGTTTAGGGGTTTCGGGGTTTCGGGTGTTGGGGTTTACGGGTTTAGGCGGTTAGGGGTTTCGGGGTTTAGGGTTTAGGGCGAAGGGCTGGAATCTGGACTTTGGGGTGTTTCGGCTTGAACTTCGAGGTGAAAATGTAGGGTACCTGCATGCAGTGGTCAAAACAGGCCATGGGTACTTAGAGGATCATGAGACTTAGTAAGTAAGGTTATAAGTACCTTAATTGGGGTTATAAGTAGTTATAAGTACAGTTACCTTCATTATAACCCTAGTTACTAAGTCCCATGATCCTTTAAGTAGACCCTAAACCCTATAGAGCCCTATAGATCCCTTTAAGGAACCCCTATAGATCCCCTTTAAAGGAGCCCTTAAAGTTACTAAGTCCCATGATCCTTTAAGTATCCCTAACGTGGAGAGGGCTTTGCTTTGCATATAGCGACAATGGCGATGCCAAGGGTTGACGGCTGTGGTGATGGTGATCAGCCTCATCATAAGAGGATGGGGTACCTTATTTTGGGGTACTTATAATAAGGATCCTACTATTTAGGGTACCAGATTATGGTCCCTGATTTTCGGAAACTCCCATGTTAGAGGACGAAGAGATTGGTGATTGTTGTTATTCGTCTGAAATAGCTGCTGATCACTTTTCCGCTGGGTCATGCCTAGCGACGTGTGTTCGTATTCCAGGACATGTGCTGTTTTGGAGCACCCGCTGCCTGCGTCAAGCTTCTGGATCGAAGGATCGGATCGTGTCTTAGGTTTCCCACCCTCAATTTGCTACAAGGCCTTCTTTTGTGAGATATGTCCCGCATCCAGGCCTCACTTGACCCTGTAACGGCTACCTTTCAGCACCCCCCCGCATATCCCCTCCGGGGCAACCCCGTCGCGATGGACCGAAGAAGTTTCGAAGAGCTGCTAGACGAATCCCTGCTGGTCTTTCGCCAGCAGCTTCTGGAGTCCTTCCCTGCTTCCGCCGAGCTGGAGCTGCCAGCAGACAGTGGAAAGCAGGAAGACATCGAAGCCCCGGCTGCTGAGAACCCAGGGGGCGGAACGGAGAGTTTGAGCGTTCGGCGGCCGGACTTCCAAATCCAAGAGTTGGAGTCCTTCGAGCTAAACCTGGAACATGCCACTGGCACGAACAGCGTCGCATCCATGTGGCGCCTCGGACAGCACAGGAACTGTAGCAGGGCTCGTGCTAATCATGCCTTGAGAATCACGGAGCTGACAGCGGTGCGATGAAGATGCTAGTACACGCAATGACAAGCACGGCGATGATGCAGCTGGTGAAGATGATCGCCTTATGGTGGTGGTATGTTTTTCAGAGCTACCTTGGAGAACCATACCCCCGCTACACAGAATCTTGAGATAGCCAGTGACTAGGGTAATAATCGTTTCAAGACAAGCGGCAGTATTACTGCTTGTGTTGCTGGAGCTGGCACTGGTCTTACTGCTGTTGCGGCTGGTGCTGCCGCTGCTACTATTACTGCCACTGCTGCTTCTGATCCTCCTACTACTGCTACTACTACAACCACAACCACCACGCTGCTGCTGCTACTGCTGCTGCCACTACTACTACTACTACTACTACTACTACTACTACTACTACTACTACTACTACTACTACTACTACTATTACTACTACGACTACTACTACTACTACTACTGCTACTACTGCTACTACTACCACTACTGCTGCTGCTACTACTACTACTACTACTACTACCACCGCATGCGTGGAACTGTGACTTCCGAAACTTTCATGCCCCCAAGACTCCCAAAGCCGCAGAAATACGAAGCCCGAAGCCCCTGCGGCAGCTTCCAGCAACCCAGACTTCGAAAACACACACCGAAGTCCCCAAATCCGCCACCCCCAGGCCCAGGATCCCGGGCCCTTAGTCATAGGCCCCAAAGTAATTCCTTTTTGGGATTACTGTATAGGATTCTAAATATGAACCCCAAACAGGGGCCTGTGGGTAGTCCTAAATCCCCAAACCCGGAACCCTAACTCGATGACACCGAGGGAAACCCATCCGAACTCGTTCAGAAAAGCGCATCCTAGAGAACCAAAGCCCAAACGCCTTACTTCCGAAACCCGAAACCTAACCCTGAGTTCCCAAACCCTAAACCCTAACTACCAGACCCTGAAACCACGAAAGGAGCCTTGAAGCCTAGACCCTGCGCACCCTCAACCCTAAAACCTAAATCTTAAACCCCATACCCCAAAGCTTAAACCCTATACCCTTAACCCTAAACCCTATACCCTCTACCCTAAACCTAAATCCCAAAACCCCAAAACCCTAAAGCCCTAAAGCCTAAACTGCCCATAAAACGAGCTCAGGTCCGGAACCTCTGATCCGACAGAGCCAGCATCGCCAGTTCTGAAGACGCTCGGCTGGCACAGAGAATCGGGTTTAGGGTTTTAGGGTTTAAGGGGTTTAGGGTTTTAGGGGTTTGGGGTTTTAGGGTTTTTAGGGTTTTTGAGGGTTTAGGGTTTGGGTTTTAGGGTTTTTTTTTTGGGTTTAGGGGTTTAGGGTTTGGGGGGTTTAGGGGGGCTTAGGGGCTTAGACGGGTTCGGGCCTTTTTTAGGTAGAAATTACATATGCAATCATACGTACATACACATATGCACATACGTGAAACATACATATACACATTTTCGCTTTCGCTTTCGGAGGCACAAGGTCCAAGTCGGACGTAGCCTATAGCATGCACTAATTACACGACTGTGAGGGCACCACAACCTGGAGCAGAAATCTCGTCCGAGTGTGCACTCAGGCAGGCAACCGCACTGCAAACGGGCAGTTGGCGCAAGGGGATACAACCGGCAGACCTTCGGCCCAAAAGCCGTCCCCAAGCACTCAAAGACCCATTACAAAACTCAAACCCAAAAAAGACCCGGCCAGCAGGCAATAATCTTTGCTGCTACAGGCTCCCTTAATCGGAAACCGAAACAGAATTAATCCGCCATAAAGTGCGATGCGAAGCAGGCCTACAAAATGCAGGATCGTTCCTCAAGGGTATGAATTGAGGCCATCCCTGCACAGCTACATACCCTGGATGCCGAAACACCATCTTCGAGGTGATATAAGGACATCAGTACAGCACAGAGCTTGAGCCTTGTTCCTCATGGGGCAGAGAGGCAAACTACAAGCTTTATGCCCCGCATGGCGGATTCAAAAGGCCATGCCCTCCCAATCATGTAAACACCGTCGCACTAATGGTATGAGCAGCCAGCTTCCTCATGAGAATGTTGAACGCATAACCAAGCGTCGAAGTCCGCAGGCTGCTGGGTCGTTGGCTGCCCTCTAGGCTCCGGTTGAACGCATAACCAAGCGTCGAAGTCCGCAGGCTGCTGGGTCGCTGGCTGCCCTCTAGGCCCCGGTTGAACGCATTACCAAGCGTCGAAGTCCGCAGGCTGCTGGGTCGTTGGCTGCCCTCTAGGCTCCGGTTGAACGCATAACTAAGCGTCAAAGTCCGCACGCTGCTGGGTCGTTGGCTGCCCTCTAGGCTCCGGTTGAACGCATAACCAAGCGTCAAAGTCCGCAGGCTGCTGGGTCGTTGGCTGCCCTCTAGGCTCCGGTTGAACGCATAACCAAGCGTCAAAGTCCGCAGGCTGCTGGGTCGTTGGCTGCCCTCTAGGCTCCGGTTGAACGCATAACCAAGCGTCGAAGTCCGCAGGCTGCTGGGTCGTTGGCTGCCCTCTAGGCTCCGGTTGAACGCATAACCAAGCGTCAAAGTCCCCAGGCTTCGGTTGAACGCATCAGCGAACGACAAACTGTGCGGGCCACCGGCTCCAAGACGAACCCCGTACCCCATAAGGCATCGAAGGGGGTTCTGGGGCTACAGTTTTCCTACCAGACCTCGCTGGTGAGGCGATCTGAGCCCTACATATACACATACATACATACATACATACATGCATACATACATACATACATCATACATACATGCATGCTTGCATACATGTATATGCATATGTGTATCTACAGAGGCATAAGTATGTATGTATGTATCTCTGTACGAAGATAGGTATGTAGGTAGGTAGGTAGTTATCGGGCTTGCGTGTAGTGTTTGGTATTTCGGGTCTACGGCGAGTTTGCTGGGTTCGGGCGTTTAGGGTTTTCGGGTCCAGGTTTGCACGTAGGGGAAACCTCGTTGTGTGCACCTTCTCCCATCTCTGCCCGTACTTTTTGGAAGGGCGAAGTGTTCTGCTGCAGATGCTTGCGAGGTTTTGCCGACACGCCTCGTTGGTTACGGCGGTTACGGCTTTGCATAGGGTTCATGAGCGACGCTTCACTTCGAGAGCAAGAGCGGGCCAGAGACGTATTCCATCTCCCAGAACCTCAAGCTAGGCCTCGAAGGTACAAAAAGGAGAGAACCCCAAAACTACCGGCAGATTCTCCTGATTTGGGCTGCACTATAGTCACTAGTCACATCCAGACTTTCGCGGTTCACGGTTTTCGGCTTCCAGGCTTCGGGTTCGGATTCTCAGGTGCCTTAGACCCCCAAACTCCAAGAAACAAGCCCTAAACCCTAAACCACGAGGATGGCGGCACCGTACCTCACATCGAGGCTTCTGCCACTGTCTTTCGGGGTTTCAGCTCTCCTCTGGGGGATGTAGGGTCTCAGGGTGCTCAAGGTACGCACCACAGCAGCATCGCTAGCATGTGCTTGTTGCATGCATGAATGCACACAAAATGCGTGCGTATAAACGCACACATGCACCCTTCATGCATACATAAAGAGATTTACGTCCAAGTAGCGTATCCGTTCATGCATAGCTGCTGTGGCATATGTGCGCCTAAATTGTGCTTCCAATTGCTGATCCCGCTTATGTGCGCTTATAAATCTGCATGACCTTCTCGCCATGGCATATCCAACGGCAGTCTCCTCTGCATTGCCTTGTTTAAGCTGCCGTGCAGCAGCACACACTTCTGAATGCTGTTGTGTGAGACCAGACATTACATCTAGATAAGCCACGCTGTAATTTATCTTCACCGAATTATGTCATCATGTCAGTTCCTGCACTAATTGTACCTCCATCATGTTAGTTCCTGCCCTAATTGAACCATCATGTTAGTTCTTTCCTTCAGCACATAGACCCCAAACCCTGTAGATCCTAAGCCCCTAAACCCTAAATTGCCCCTAAGCCCCTAAACCCCATGACCGTGCCAGGCTCAATGGCCTCAGTGACGCGGAGGCCCAGGCGGTCAGAAGGTCAGTGCAGGGATGGTGGTGTCGGGTGGTATTGCTTGGCTACTGCCCCCACACTCTGTAACAGTTGCAAATTAGATGTTTGAAAAATATAGAGTTACAATGATTTTTATATACATACATACATACATACATATGACCCCAATATTTACTGGGACAGGATGAGCACTAGCCAAAGTGTTGCTAGCAGGTGTCCGCATCTGCTTCTTCCCCTCCCGCGACTCCAATCCAGAACCTCACCACCTTACATGCTTCGAAGCCTCAACCACGAAAATTCGAAGCCCAATCCGCCAAAGCTTGCGAGGAGACTGAGGCTGCGCTTGGGAATCCTCTCCCCCAGCAGCCTGGTGACGGGGAAGGCCCTGCTTCCGCCTCGCTCCCAAAGCAGGGCACAAAAGCATGCAGGATATGCCGACAAAGGGGAGTTTCCAAAAACTAGGGGTACCTTATTGTGGGGTCCTTATAATTCGGATCCTACTATTCAGGGTACTATAGTAGGGACCAATATTTTCGGAAACTCCCATATACACATATGTTGCATCCCTCCATCCATCCATCCATCCATCCAATCATCCATCCATCCATCCATCCATCCATTCGTCCATGCGCCCAGGGAGTCAGGCAGCCAGGCAGACACCCTAAACCCTAAACCCTGAAACCGTTTGTCAGACCTCTCTCGAAATCTCGCCGCGCAGGCGCTTCATGACGCTGTAAACGCCCTGGGCCTCACCAGGTACAAGCTAGAGGCAGGGTGCCACGGGGATGATGGCAACAGTTCTTGGAGGTTCATGGGTAGTTATAAGTAGGGTTATAAGTAGGGTAGCTATACTTATAACTCATATTACATATTAGGGGACTTATAACCCTACTTATAACTACCCATGAAC